AGCAAAGAGCTAAGACTCACAACACAATGATCCCTGCACAGAGCAAAGAACGAAGACACACAACAAAATGATCCCTGCACAGAGCAAAGAGCTAAGACTCACAACACAATAATCCCTGCACTGAGAAAAGAGCTAAGACACACAACACAATGATCCCTGCACAGAGCAAAGAGCTGAGACTCACAACACAATGATCCCTGCACAGAGCACAGAGCTGAGAACAAGCAAAAGGCAACAGAAGAAAGGAAGAATGATAGAAACAGAAAAAAACTTTTTTATACCTAGATAAGATCACTTTATTGGCCAAAAACAATTTCTTGTATTAGGAATTTGTCTTTTTGCATACCCCAGCCTGCTCTGCATGAGACACACAGACAGGGAGAGAAGCTTGGGGTCAGAGTGCAGGGTCAGCCATTTATACAGCACCCCTGAAGGTTAAGGGCCTTACTCAGGGGCCCAACGGAGTAGGATTCCTCTGCCGGCTGCGGGATACGAACCGGCAACCTTCCAGCCACAGGCACAAATCCTTAGCCACAGAGCCCCCAACATGAATAGGTACTTAAAACCTCCTAAGGAGTCCATTTTTCTGTCTGTATAGTTATATCTCATTTATATAATGGGGAGCATAATAATATAGTTAGCACACTTTACTTCTTGGAGGGTCTAGTTCCAACCTGAGTAGTCAAAATATATGAGTTTTCTCAATCAAACACATACTGTACAGTACTTTTCTTAAGGGCTTTTACAACTGATTACATAGGACATTTACTTAATTAAAGTGACAGTTACCTACAGTATAAATGGAGCCTGGTTAGAAGTCTTACAATTGTGTAGGTAATCTACAAAGTAGACCAACTATATAACTGAGAGAGTGGGAGGAACTGAGATTGAGATCCCAGCTACTGCTGGACCACCTACGGTAACCTACTTGTCTGTGACCTGTTATGTCAAGCAGGATTAGTGCTTAACAGATCAAAAGTCTTGAAAACACTGAACAGCTTTTTAGAATCAGAACTACTTATTGCTCATCTCAGTGTAATAAGCCAAGTTAATTTATTTTCTTGTTGAGATGCTCTAACCAGTCAGCATTCAGATGTACCTCTGTCAGTACAGATAACTTTTATGTATTTTCAAATTGTTTGATTTTAGAAATTGTATTTAACATTGATTCTTCATTTCTTTTGAAAGTGAGATATTTGAAAACAGAATCCCATCTAACTGCTGAAGGATTGGAAATCTGTTTTCCAATTAGAGCTACGTACACTTCCTAATAGGCCTTCACATCTCTTCCTGTCTTATGACACATGCAGATGCTCTGGTCCTTTTGTCATGTGACAAATATTTCATGAAAGTACAGAGTTAAAAAAAAACCAATGATGTGGTCAGATTAGTCCCTCCACAAGTAGAACATTTTAATTGACTGACAACCACAGACTTCACATCTACACAAAAAATAATCAAATCAAGCTCATCTTTCGTCTTTTTTTCCATTTAATAAGTAAACAGCCAAGAAAAGATGCGCTTTTTTTGTTTTTTTCTAATTTGCAATGCAGAATTAACCTTTACTTGTTCCTTTACATCACAGATGGTCAACACTAGTGAAATGTACTGCAGCTAAAATGTTTAGTTTATTTTAGTTTTAGAGGTCTATCAAGACGTGTACAACCAATGTGCATAACTCATAATAAATGATGCATGCAAATTATTATTAAGTCCCATGTTCTCCCTCTGCTGACTCCCAGTGCTCTGCTGCGTGTGTTTCTCAAACCAACATAATCCAGACACTTGTGTAGAGATGCAAAGAGTCACAGTGAAGTGCAGTGAACCTTCAAGATGAGTTTAATTGTGATGAAAATGGCCATTTCATTGAAGGAGACAAACACAAGGTGACCTTCCCACAGAGCTCTAAATTCCAGCCGTGTTACAGAGAGTCTTATAGTCCAAGTCCAGCCAAGTTCCCCCTATGTTATCACCATGAATGGGTGTTTAAGAGTGACCATTCCCCCTATGGTTTTATCCCTGCCTTTCAGCACCTCCTGAGGTGTCACGTACAACAGCAGGTGTCTGTTTAAAATTCTCTCAAACCAGGTCATGAACACTGACCTCAGATTTCTACACTTGCATGAACTGCTCCTCAGAAGAACAGCGGCTGGGTATGATGGGCCTGTCTGGCCACAATAAGCTTAGGAGATTTTCATACAGAAATGTGTCATGTAATAATTTCGTCTGAACCTGAAATTCATTAAACGACAGGCCGTTTAATGTCTCTAAATCAGGATGTTTCTTGTTTGTACCTTGAGTCACTGCTCAGTGATTTTGAGCAGCGTAGGGGCTCACATGAGCTGGGGTTACTGGATGTGGATGTGGTGCATTTTCATCACGATCTGTGAAAGCATTGCAAACCCCAAGGGACTTCTCAGAAAAGCACCACCGAACTGACATGTCAGTTTCCCAGCTCATCCGCTGCAGTGATCTTGTGAATGAAAGTACTTTCCTCCTGTCACACTTGTGTTAAGTACAGTTCCGGTTAATTTCCCTACAGATGTGAGACTAGATCACCCATGGTCCCTTAAAATAACACTGGCCCTCATATGATGAGCTATCAGATGATGGCATCTGGTTTCTTACACAGATATTTATAATTACATTTAAAGATCAGTAAAGATCATTTTTCTGAAGTCTTGACATAGGCTCAAATTTTAAATGGTTGCTATAGCTCTTAGGAGCTATAGCAGTTATTCATTTTCTGCGACTCATTTACTCAATTAATGATTAAATACTAGGGATGGCACAAGAATTTGCTGAAAAAAAAAAACATAAAATAGCTAGCATTAATTTGATATCAACAAAAACTTTTCCTGACACTTCTTTTCTAATGTGACAAATTTGTCTTGGGAGGTATCAAGCACAATACTTTACTTCGGATGGCCTTTATGTGACTATACCAATCAGTAGGTAAAACCAGGATTAATAATATGTATTCCAAATCCTATACTGTATGTAGGTAGAACCGTCTGGTTCTGCTTCACCTGCTTTGCCTGACTGTTTTCTTTTTTTTTCTAAATTGTTATCACAACTTAACAACTGACTGCAAGTAGGAAAAAGAGGGGACTACACAAGGAAAAAACTATGATCTTCCAATCTCTTCTGAAAGATCATTCAATCGCGCTGATCTCATTTGTCCAAGAGCTCATCTAAGTACCATTCAGTCCTGAAGATTACCAAAGGCTACAGTATGAGCTTATGGTTGTTCATGTACTGTGTTTTCACCAGTGAGATCACGAACGGGGTTAGCAAAGGCCTTTGATTTGGGAGCAGAACATGGCACACACAATCTTTTCCTCTGCTCAGATCTCATCCATCCAGGTTGTAGGATTTCTCAGTGCTGTTCTAGGTACTTTCCAAGAGCTCGGCCAATGATCCCACTGCCCCATTCCTTCTGCACAAGTGTGTTCTCTCAATTTCAGTATCCCCGAGTGAAAGAGCTGATCGTCAGTGCTATCAGTTCACCTGGGGTGGAAAGCAGCCCAGCTTTCTCACAGATCATTACAAATAATGGAACATTGGTTTCACACGTACCTTTGTCAACAAGGCTTGGTCTTCCTTCACTCGACAACCTTCCACTGCCAGCGCAAACTGCTCTAGGGTTACTGTAGGAAAAAGAGAGACCACAAACATGAGCATCTTTTCATGTTTCTCTTGCTTTCTTTTTTTTCTAATTGGCAGCTAAACCTCAAACTTTGTTTTCAATCTGAGACAAGGCAAATCGTCATGAAAAAAAAAGGCAAAACTCAACACAGTGACCGGCTGCAACTAACAAAATAATTATGAATCACCAGAATTCTACAAAATTAACTAATCACACGTCATGAAGGTGATTTAAAAAGCAAAAACCACAATAGATGTGTTAAAACTACATGTCATTTGTTATTTTCATTTGAACCCTGCCTTTCATTTCTGTCTGATCTTTGAATGCTTCTTTGGAAACAGTAGTGTTTGATTCTTGTAATCACAGAAGTGTTCACAAAGGATTATCCAGACTTGTCTATGGTCTACGAGCAGTCTGGTGCAAGATACATAATGTTCCATGTTTCTTTTATACTGAAACACATCTGTTCAAAATGTTATTAACAGTCATTGCCTCTTCACTTGATCTCAATGCCGAAACACACATTTACTGTATTTACTGTATATTCTACACTTTTCTCATTACTGTCAATAATTATTTTAAAAATCCATCCATCAATTTTCTAACCACTTTATCCAGTACAGGGTGAAAGAGTAGCCAGAGCCAGCAAGCAACAGGCGCAGGGCAGTATTTGAAATGTAGTTCTGATAATTCTCCATGTGAATGGACATCTCACTGGTGAAAATAAATGTACAACCATAAGCTCATACTGTATAGCCCTTCGTAAACTCCAGGACTAAATGGGAGGTAGATGAGCTCGTGGACAAATGAGCAGCATAACCATTAAACCCTGTTATAATGGATAACAGTTAGTGGCTGAGAAGTTAAGGTGGAACGCAGATCGCATTGCTTTGGAATTAGTGTCTATAACTGGGAAACAGAATTGGCCAAAGGCACAGTAAGTCTTACGGTCATATGCCAAAAAAACAAACACGGAAAACAGAGGACATTAAAGATACAGATGCTTACCCTGCTTGTTCTGGTATTATTGACTGCTCACTTGTGAAGTGATGCTCTCGACTTTATCAAACCATTTTGTGAATCACTGGCCATTAGTTTAACTTTTTTACACCAGCATATTTTACTTGCTAGTCTTTCTCATCTATTGCACACTGTGTTCCTTATTCTGCATAGCTCCTGCAGGAGTGCGATGCTTCTGTCTTTATGTTCAAGTGTGAATACTTTTGTCTGTCTCTGTCTGAGCAGAGACATCATCACGCTTAGTGATTAACAAAGTCAAAATGTCCCACATTCTGCACAGTCAATGAAAGTTTTTACAAATAGTTCTCTCTCCTGGAACTACAATATTGAGCATTGGTGAGACGTAAAAGAGGAAGGCTAGGAGAGGGAAAGCACAGAGTGCTTAATCCTCAGATTTTTCCATCACTCATCTCCAGTCACTGAAGATGTATTACAGTTGGAATCAGTTCTTCAAAGTTTCGCTGTCTGGGGTTAAATCCCAAGATGCTGATTTTGAATAGGACAAATCTATCCCTGCAAATACAGTCCCATATGCAAAATTACTCAAATCTTAAAACAATTAGCTGTTTCTCCTTTAAACCACTCTTTCAAAGTTTGTCAGTCAGATGTGTAAATTGGTTTTGTTAATTTGAAGATGAACTGTGAAGGGCCCAGTTACCCCTCTCAGTTTTCTTGGGCTATTTTAGCAATCCATGTACAAACTCCACATAAAAAGAAGAAAAACAACAACTCTAATTGCAAATGCAATATCAGTTTAAAAGATGAAAGTTGCCTTGATTGAGCACTCTTGGCCCCAGACCTGTGACAACAAAGTGATATCTGGAGCACTGCAGTCAGATTGTTTCAAATCCCCCTCCCCATCTTTTTCAACCCTTACAAGAGTTCTGTGTGTTCCTGTGCATGTCTGCTGCTTGAAAGTCTTTAAAGCTGAATTTGGTCGGTGTGTGGGTGGTGCATGAAAGAATGGAAAGGTTATCTTATTCTTATAAACACATGTGTGAGTGTAGAACAGAACACACTTCACAAAGCTTTTTTTTTTCATGTGCTTCAGCAGTGTTCAAAATGACTACAGCAAAGAAAAACAAGTGGAGCTTCTAAGCCACTTCAGGTGAAGCCTTTTTGCTTCACCTATCTAGCAACTGCTAATAATGCCATTCGAGTGTTATTTGCAAAAAAACTCACGTCTTTCCTGATCTTAAGTCAGCTACTTAAGAGAAGAGCTGAGTGGTCACGCAGGACTGCAGCCCCTCCACAAGCCCACACACATCCTAAACCTTTTTGCACAAACCTGCACAGAATGTTTTTTCAATTATTTTTGCCGACATGTAAAAAGCTGCTCATTTTTCTTGCATATGAATTCTATTTAATTTGCCAAAACCATATGGCAAATCTTTTTATTTCTCTGTTGAATACCTGGATTGTCTTTTGCTAGACTGGCTCTTCAATGCTGTTATTCAGACAAATGCCTTGTAGCACAAAGACTTGAGAATTTACCTTGAGAAGGATGGCAGGTTGTTTGTAATGTTTCTTATCTACAGTACATTCAGTTATTTACCCTGTTTTTTAAACATTATCTTAGGAAAAGTCATTTTGACAGCTGCTAACTGCAACCTTTACTTGAACGCATAGATCTAAAAGCAATAACCATCTAATTTAGTGTTTATAAAGCCAATCTCCACTTTTAACATATCAAATCATCAGATATTTTGATGAGGTTTAATAGCGAGCCACATTTCTAGTGCTCCATCACCACCATACCAAATTCTCCACCTAACCTATCACATAATCGTGTCACAACGCACGATAGCCCTAACCACAAAACAGCACTAAGCTTCTAAGTTTCTAAGTTTCGAGGTTCTCTACATTTCTAGCTGTTAACTTGGAATGTGTTTTGGTAAGTTACAATATGACCTTACTTGGAGATATTAAAAGAACAAGGAAAGCAACTCTGAGAGGTGAAGACAAGAAAGCCAAAGAAACAAATTAAGTAAAGGTTTGGAATACACAAGGATGAGGGAATACTACAATTGTATTCTCTATACTATACTATAGTTATAATATACTGTATATATTATAATCCAGCAAAAATATATATACTATAGTCTCTATTCTATATTATACTATTATATTGCTATAGTATATTCTAGTATCTGTATATACTATTCTCTATATAAAAAATTAGACTATATTCTGTATGTATTTTACAATCTATAATTTTGCAATATTGCACACTCTGCTGTACTGCATATGCTGGTAATATTATATACTCTGTACTATAAAAATATTATATACAGTGCTTTATATTATAATCCAGCTATATGAAGTACCCTATACTCTAGCAGTGATGAATAAGTAATCAAAACCATGAATCTGAAATCGAGTGAAATGCTAGGGAAAAAACGTAATTTCTCTGTGTGAGAAGTCCTGTGGTTTTGGGTAAAGCTCTGGAGCTGACAAGTCTTCAGTGACATCAAATATGCCTAAACCACATTACCTTGAGCAAAGGGAACATATGAAACAAAAGAAGACAAGTATGATTCACAGAAATCTGAATGAATGGTGACTAAAATCAAAAGCTGATCAGAAGAATCTCTGCTTCTTTTTTTCCTGCGAGATGTGTCAGGCATTCAGCCAAGACAAGTGATGAAAACTGCAGGGCTGTGACGGGAATACTAGATACGCAATAATGGAAAAGAACACATTCGTGTACGTTTTTGTTACTGAAGACCTTTTCCTTGTGACACAGTATAAGTTAGGGAGGCAGAAAAAAACTAAAAGTTTTAAAGTCCAAATCTTCTGAAACACTTGAAAGTAGAAGCACAAGTTAGCAATTTATTTTAAGGCAGTGGCATTTAAAAAGGTAACAAATACAACAATACAATAAAAATCTAAGATTTCTGAATAACCATAATGATATGTAGCAGAGGACAGTGTTGTTTACATTACTGCAATTATCAGAACACTGCGTAGTAAAAAAATTTAAGAAAAATGACCGAAAAGCACATTTTACGCAAGCACAACCAAGACCCACAACATACTGTATGAAGCTACACAACAATATTGATGGAGTGAGGCTTCTTGAAAATAAGGGGTGTAAAACAGGAAGTGTACAGGAATCACAGAGCCAATTCTTTATCTAGTGAACAAAGCCCCGAAGACTGATACAATCTAAAAGAATTTCACCATGGTATTAGATGAATTTGTTAATAAAAGCAAGATGAATCATTATTATTACTGCACCTCTACAAAAATATTTTTTTAGATCTCCATTTTTGTCCCTTTAAATAAAAGCAATCTTGGCTTACACCTGGCAAGACAGCAGCCAAAACCTCTCTGAAAAAATACTGACATCTCCCTGACACTGAGAGGCAATCCGTTTGGAAAAGCAAGACGTTCTGACTCACAACAGCTCGGTTCAATTCCGCAGGTCGCAGCTGGAGGCTAAGTTACCACAGCAGGGAATAACACCTAAGAACACAGTGGCAGAGAGTCTCTGCTCCATCAGCACTTCGGGATCTCCGCGATCAGACTCTCTGAACACTCTCTGCCGTGGGGGCTTTGAAATGCATCTTATCTGAAGATTTTAGTGCAAACGACTGCAAGCACGGCACTGTTAATTGGCAATGATCCCAACGCCTGACTTCTAATTTAATTCTAAAAATATGTGTTTTTATATAGCACTGCTCTGCCCGGAGCGCTGCACAGAATCACAAATGCAACACCAGAGTGCCTGATTGCAACGCACTCCAGACACCAGCCACCTCCTGTTCACACTAATGTGCAGATCCCACATTCCTCTCCTGCTTTCTGCCTGCTCCCTGGTGCATGCACACACAGTCAGCGTCCACAACATGGTCTGGGCCTTGCCAATCCACTGTGTAGTCCTGAATTGCATAATCCTTTCCAGTCCTGAATGTCCCTAAACTTAATTTCTACTTCTGCCCTGAAGTTTCCATATTGCTCCTTATTTTGAAGAGCCTTTAGTATCTTTCAGGATCTTGAATTCCTAAATCAAGTCTCCACCCACTATCCTCGAAAAAGATTAATTTCTCATCAGTTGTCTAAGTCTGGCGTTCTGCTCACACCATTAACTGCTCTTGCGTGCACTGCCACTGAAGCAGAAGTATCTTTCCTATCGTGTGATGACCAAAGATCACAATGATCTGAGTCATAGTTCACAAATGCATTTTCAATATCAACAAAATGGAGTTGTATTCTCTTGTTTGATGTGAAGACGGGGCTGATTTTAAAACCAAGACAAGTTTGCTTTTGGTCCTGGTGAATTTAATCCTTTTGTGCCACTGGTAGCTCTGAAACATGGATGAGTTTTGATCAGAAACCACACTGTGTTGTTTATGTGTAAGCTGTCTGAAACTCCCCTGCGAATGTCAAGATATGAAGATTAACTCTGTGCTGGAACACCTGACACACAAACAAATTGTGAATCATTTTTTCAGTATTACAGCTTCTGAAACTCTCTTATACATGTACGTGCTTATACGGTCAGATCAGGTTCAAGTTCATTTCCAAGAACAGTAAATATCTGAAGGAAATCTGTATATCAACTTTAAATTTTAGGTGTTAGTCACAAAACATTACTCATTCCTTCTCTTACTCACTTGCAGAGAAGCTACAAGACAACAAGCTCCAATACACAGCATCCTTCAGCATTTAAATACCGCTAAATTGCCGAATACAGGCCTACCAGATGTTTCACTCAGCAGCTGACTAGTCACTTAAAAGAACTTTAGAAGTGAAGATACAGCATCTAGTGTACAGGCAGACAAGGGGCTGGCACAAATGATAGACAAGTCAGCTAAGTAGACAGATAATTAAGGGTTTTAGAAAACAAAGCAGTGTGGTGTGTTTTACGTTGAAAGCATCCAACAATGTGTTACTGTTGTAAGTACTGTATGAAAATGAACTGCAGGAGAAATGTTCACTGGAATTCAAATATGAATTATCAGTGCTAAATTTTCATGAGTCGTGAAAACTCCAACAGCTCATTTTTCAAAATGTTTGTGTGGGGCCTTAGTTCAATTTCAAACAATCTTTTGTATCATGAATTATGAAGTTCTTGGTAATTGCACAAGAACCGAGAAGGAGCTTAGATGCCTTCAATCCATTTTACTTATGCCACAGTCAGTCCTCTTTTCTTTCCTACTTAACTATAGCTGGGCAGTCTTGCTGGTATTTTATCAGGGGATCCAAAAAGTAGATAAGATTTCACTATATAAAAATACAATTAATTTCTACAATATTATAAATAAAGTTGGTCAATAAATATAACTCACAATCCTTATGTCAAAAATAATGCTACACACTTTTACAAAGTTCAGATAAACAGCTGTTCATTGACTGATCACTGAACACTGATCTATTTCATTTAATCGCATATTAGGAGGTCTACTGACCATGAGAAAATTGAGTATTGTGCCCGTAGTGCATAAGATCAAACTGGATTTATTAGTCAACTTCATTTCAGATACTGAAAGCTGGGCTATTACAAGCTACTACTTTCTAAAAAATATATTTTTAAACTAATATCTGACCTTCCAGTGTTGAGGTAAAGCACACAAATAACAGAAAAATGGATTAAAATAGTAAATCAGGAGAGTATTGAATTACTCTTTGTTTATTTTCAGCCTTAGAGCATGGGATTATTTGTTTGGTTTCAACTAAAACTGGAGTGGTTTTGTGTGCAGAAAGTGTCTCATATTGATTCAATGCCAGTTGTTTTTTTTAAAGAAAAGCAGATTATTTTTGTGGACTGGCAGGCTAAGCCATTGAGGAAAAGTTCTGGGTCTGAAATATTCTACATAAGAAATCAAAATTAAATAAGATGATGTTATTATGCTATTATGAGAAGATCGACAGAAGAAATCAAAATGCTGCTGTTGACAACTGTAAGTGGTGCTGGTGGACAAGAAGGTGGCCTTGACAATCCCTGACTTCCTGGGGATGAGAAATCCAAAACGGGCCTTGAATGAGTCTGGGGGCTGTGCCAGGGGCTTTAATAACAAACACCAGTGGCTATATGTCTGTTTTTGTGTTCTGTATCGCGGAAGAGGTCAAAAGGTCAAAAGAAGAGTATGCCAACCAACCTTACCAAGATTACAGAGTGTTACAAGAGATCATGCTGACAGAACAAAGTCATTACCACTGGAGAGATACTGTATGACACGTACTATATGATACTTTCACAGCCACAACAACATGTGGGAAAGTATAATGCTAAAATCATGAAACATTAAAAGGGCAACATCTCAGCTAGCCTTAAACATACACATTGGGTTAGACTGAAGTGAGGAGCTGTGACAGCTTGCATCAGCAGCAGAGGAGCAGGTAAAGTTTAATTGCCCCCTGAAAAGTAGAAAAGAAGACGAGCAATTTTGAAGTTAGAAGAAAAGCAGGTGTGGGTCTCTCTCCCGAATCGCTGAGTTTCTTCACTATTTTTCAGCGGGGAATTAAGATTCGCTTTCTCCCCCACAGTGGGAGACGGCCTTCGCGGCTGTCCAGGCACGGTCACCGACCTCTGTGAATGTGGGCGAGAGCGAGGCTGGTGATGTGGTGGAGACAGGAGTTCCAGGCCTGGAAGAACTCCTCCCTGTTCTTCTCCACCTGGGGGACACAGAAAACACACCCGCTGTCGGCAAATATTGTTCATTAGATTTAAGAGAAGATGAGGAACACGAAATGGGAATAAAGATTTCAGCCGATACCATTAACTGCAGAGTTCCAGGTGTCACTGATGTTGAAATCTGACATTTTTCTGGCAACAAATGAGTACAAATACAGTACCTAGTGCTGTCTGAGATGTGGAGGAGTAGTTATGGGTAATAGACTAGAGCTACAGTAGACTGAAATGCATTATAAAACAGTATTGCAGCTGTACCTACAAGATATATTAATAGCACATAGTATATACATATTTAAATTAAACTGTGCATCATTTATAGTGAAACTGAACACCAGAGTAACAGGTAAAAGGGTCAGTAAATTCAATTTAAATCTGAAGACATGGAAGTACATGTACATGAAGTACATGGAACTGCTGACCTAAAAACCAATGTTATGCTTAAAAGTCCTTGATGGATATGGATTGTCTGTGGCAAAGCACATCATAACACTCATTACAGTTTCAATGATCCATCTTCGAGAGTTTGCCCAACTTTTGCACTTTAGTCTTATTTCTTCCACATGTTTTAAGTGAGATTTAAACATCTTGCAGCTACACAGCAGTCTGTCCATCTTGCCTTTGTGGTGCAAAGACTGTGGCACAGCAATAAGGCTTGTGAAAAAGAACAGCACACCTGTGTCGATGCCAGTGGTGTACCTGGTCAACACTTTGTATAACTGTGCCAGGTGTTTATGTTCACCTTCTTAAAGGACACTGGAACCACATCAAGGAGACTGCTGCCTAGTTTTGCATCCACTCCACTTCAAAGCTTGAGTGAATTTATCAAACAAACCTACTTTAAAGTTTACGCAAACTGTTGCAGGTTTAAAAGCAGACACAACAGAGGAAAAACCCTTAATTGTTAGATCAAAACCCCAACAATTACCATTCTGCTTTACTGGCATGGACAAAGAACAAAATTTGCTACAGTGTATGACTGTTATCATTTTTCCTGAATAGCTTCTACATTGTCATTAATTTTACCAGGTTATGAAAATAAATACAAAACAAACAAAACAAACCAAGAAGGTTTTTTGGCTCTGAGTTCAAGCGCAGAAAATGTCCCCTTCTCTAGCAAGATGAATACCCTTCAAGCCATTACTCACAAATCAGTGTTTCCTCAGTATGAAATATTTGCAATTAACCAGTTAATTAATGATTTGGCGTGGTCCATCTTTTCTCAAATAACTGTCTGTGCTGACAAGATTAACTTTCTGAAAGTGTTGTAGGAAATATCAACAGAATCACAGCTTCAGCTGCAAATCCATGTTAACAAGTGCACATAGTGAAATGTAATAAAAAACAGGAAAATTGCACTTGGCCTCCTTCAGAGACATGGCTTTTGTGGCTAAAGGAACTACTGTGCATCACCGTGGCTCAATGCCCAGAGTCCCTGATTTAGCTTGTGCTTTAAGCAGGCACCTCAGCACAGAGAAGATAACACACAGGCTTTCACTGCTGGAGAGAGACAGCCGACTCCTCCACACAGCACTACTCTCCTGTCAGGCCGGGGAGCCTGTGGTGTGTCTGGTATTAGAGGGGCACGTCTGTGTGCCTCTTCCTCTCCTGAAGGGGTACAGTGCACCAGAGAGCCCAGCCTTAAATAAGTCTGTGTCCCACAGTGGGGTGAGCATGGTTGCCTATAGTAGGTTTAAAATCATTCAAATCATCTAATTTAAAAAGGAGGGAACAGGGACTCAAAAAAATAATGTACCTATTTTCTGGGGTATGTCCCCACTAGGAACACAGCCACTGTATTCTTCCATCAGCAGGAGGCAGACCTGTTCCCTGTTACCAGTCACTCCGACTGGATGAGCCATTAGGTTCCAGTACAGACCTTTAGGTACTCCCCTGTTCGACATTTATTTTACCAGTAAAATTCTGAGCTCTTTCTCATTCTATGTTCAAGTCGTCGGCTCTCAGTATATCTGTGACATGGCTGTCATGTGCCCTTTAACCTTACTGTATAAGTTTTTAAAATAAAAAAAAACAGCAGTTGCAGTTGTTTTCCCTTTCCTTACGGATTGGTATTTGCTCCAACACCACTACGGGGCTATATTGTGCATGAAATGGTGTTGTCATTTTTTGTTCCCTGTTCTCCAACAAAGAATCACACCACAGGAGTTGTACAGAAAAAACAGTACAAGGTAAAGAAAACACTTTACAAACTGAAGGAGATACAGCTCTACTACTAACTGTAAAACAGCTTCCAGGTTATGTGCTGTATAGCCCCACTGTGAAAAACTGGTCCTAAAAAGAGAGACTTTAAAGCCAGTCAAGTCATTGGAGATCAATGTCGAGGGGGAAATATAACAGCAGTTGCTACTTCGAATATTTTTTATCTGTTAAAAATCAAAGAGGAGTTTTCAGGTAACTTGATACTGTACATTCAGTGCCTATTCAAAAAGCATTACAGCATTTACAGAGAGCTGAATACCTGTAATTCAAAAGGTTTTAAAATGAATTACTTATGGTCCCAAAGTATTAAGTTGGGGAGTGACAGGAAGTGACATTCTCTGAGAAATATTTACCTTGGTGTAGAGTCTGGCAGCCAGGCTGCGCTGCAGAACACGTTCTCTGTAGTTCACAGCCTTCAGCAGAAAGGACAGATCCCCCACCTTATCTGTGCTGAAGCCCAGGAAACTGACAGGAGAAGACAAGTACACGTCAGATCGCCTGTCCACCTCGCAAGATGACCACAAAGAGCTCATATTAAGCATCTATTTGGCCAACAGCACACAGCTATGTAAGAACAACTTAAGATGAAACCTTCTCTTTAACCGATTTCAGAACCCTCAAAGTCTCTGACAAAGTCAACACAATGGGCTTCTCCAAAATCAACAGTGAAAGTCCACTTAAAAATATGAACCGGAGGCAGAACATTTCCCAAAGAGTGATGGGGGGTATGGGATATGGAACAAGCTATCCAACAACGTCATTGAAGCTGATACCCTGGTTTCTTCCAAGAAACTGAGTTGTGTGAAATACTGTAGTATGTGCAGAAATAATATGTTATTAATTTCTTCCAAGTTTCTGTGATGGAATTTTTATAAACATGTTTGGCATATCTGGAGAAAAAAAAATAGAGCAGTGCACAGAAACACAGACGACAACAGCACAGGTATCTGAAATATACTTGAAGCCCTTTGCAAAAGAGACACAATTTGGAAACGTTTGAAATGGAGTATTTCTGTTACATGCAACACACTTTTTTATTGCGATCTGAACAAAAAAAATAGCAGAGTCAAAAGCAATGAACAAAAAAAAAAAAACCCACACTAAAATCACCCAAACACTTTGCATGACTTGCAAAATACTACAGTAAACCTATACAGTCACTGTGACTGAAATGTGAATAAATTGGCAAAAAGTTTCCTACTTGGCAAGACTTGCAAACGAATGATGATTACTGCACACCACACGACCTTACTTTGTGAGTACGGGACAACTGACTCTTCAGTTATTTTCAGAAGAGCCCATAAGCTAATTTTGATCCATGGTCCAGGAAGGAATTCTTTTTAATGTGCAGAAATGTCTGTGCCATTTTATTATTTTGGAGTGCACTGCACCACTGTACCAAAGTTGACCTTTCTTACAGTATATGGTATCAAAACACAAGAAATGGCAGCCACCTGTTGAAATGTTGATATGATCTGGCTTGGAAGAGTACAGATAGCTCCTGTCATGACATACCGGGACCACAAAACCACCAAAAAACACCTAATTTTGACCATGAGTGAGGCGTTCACGAAGCGTATGAAGGGATGTTAACTGAAAATGGTTATTTTGATTAATCTTTTAACTTATTTATTATAGGCTTTCGGCTCGGGCTTAATTCTTCCATGCCTCTAACCTAACTCTCCACGCTTGTCAAACAAAATCTGATTATGCCTCCTGTTTTTCACAGAGACTCCACAATCCTGGCTGCCAATGCACAAGGACCCTGTATTTAATGCAATCATGTGGTTTTGTCATTTCTGGTAAGATTTATGTTCAGACAGAAAATCTGTGTTTATTGCTATAATCAGGGATCCCTGACAGAATTGTTTATTTCTGAGTAAAATGCAATTATAAAACGAGGTTTTTTTTAGCATTTACTGCATATATCTTGGAGAACAACCTAAATTATAAGATAAGAACAGCTAGTTTTGCATGCTTGCCAGGTACACTGAACATGAGCTTTTGCTTCTTTCTAAACAGAGTGAGAACATGCCATGTCTGTCAAAGATTCTTTCTCACCAGAAACAAATGGGAAATTATACCCTGGTATGCTTACAAAGCCACCCTCTTCATGCATTTTAAGACAGTTCCAAAACCTCTGGGAGATGGCCTGCATCTGCGCACTGAACCAAGCAAACAATCCAACAAGGCTGGTAAAATGCCACTAGCGGACTTGTGCAACACAGCAGCGACTGAATAAACCTAGGGTTTCACTACTGTTTGCCAGTGGGAAAAAACAATAAGGAATTTTAACTTGACGTTGTGTTTTCTTCTGTGCCATCCGCAGCTTCCAGTTGAGGTGCAATCACGAGTTGCTCCACATATGGAGGTATGAGTGTAAAACATCAAACTGAGAGCCCAGCAGTGACTCAATTCCTATTGGTCTGTAGGTACTAAAGTCTGTATGCGACTGCTTATTTATGAGGCAGGGCGAAAAGACAATGGAACCACTTCTGATTTCAACATCTGGCGCGGTTTCTCATCAGTTATTTATTTACTGTTTTTTGTTTTGTCTGTGGACACCTACAGTACATATATATAAGAGCTGTTCCAATTAACCGGTTAACCAAGGAATGACCAAAGAAATGCCTTCAGTTGTCACATCCCAGCACCCCGCATTAAGAACGAAGACAGTGTCTGTGGCTTTTGAAGAGAAATCTCAAATGTGGCTTGGGACAAAATAAATCACACTCAGGAGATGGATCTGGCCTATATTATAATGACCAGTTTTTGCTAAAAGTATGTAAACCTATTTTTACACAAATACATTTTTACACAAGTGCATACATATAATGGCTCAAGGGATGGGATATCCTAAAATGCGGTTTCCTTTATTTTTGTGAGGTAAAAATCCTTAAAATGAAAAAAAAAACAGACACACCCACCTTATCACAAATTTCTATAGTACTACAGGTATACACAAACAGCTATAGTACTAAGAAACGATGATAATTGGGATTGTGGACACTGACTAAATGTGTGTATGAACCCTGTGGCTATGCCTTATAACTTGAATATGCTTAATGATCTATAGCCACATTATCAGTGAGTGAGTATTAAAGTTTAAAAATGCTTATTAAAATTTTAATTTAGTCCAAATCTTATACGAGGACCAAACCTTTTCTTGAGTGTGCTAATTTTGTTTTTAGATTCTACCAATGTATATTATATTTGAAAATATTACACTGCAGGGCACCCACATTGACACCATTATTGTGTCCAGATAGTCCAGAAACAAATAAATAGTGTAACACCCCAAATGTATCAATAAAAAACTTTAATTTAGTGAGTTTACAAACTTTCTGAAAGGACAAAATGAAAATGCCTCAATGCATTTAAGATGCCTATAACAATTCCATCACCTTTCACAGAAACATCAGAATCCACAGCCAAACATTTTATTATCAAACTGCTCTTTAAATGTTTTTCAGAAAGTGTTTACGTCTGTGATAGAGAGGTAAAGGTTTGCTCCTGTGAGAGAAAAACATTGCAAATTAGCCTGACATTTTTCTTGAGATGGAGACGTTATAACCAGATTTTCAATTAGAAACACTGGGCCTGTGGCAATTTAAAAAAAAACAAAACATGATTGTCTACTGTGACTTGAAATGTGACGCGAATAAATGAAACCTTTGAGAACAATTTAAGCATCTGCACTGTTTTCCAGCCTGTTAAAGCCTTTTTCCACATGTGTACTCGGTGACGTGTGTGGGCACGGGTTTCAGGCGATTAAGGCGAGTGTCTTAATCCATTTAAAGAGCCAATTAGAAAGTGTGTCGGCACAGATTTGTGGGAGCTGGATTCTCTTCTTGACTGGATTAATTCAGTTGATATCAGTAATGGAACAATTACAGGTTAATTCCACTCAGTAAGTAAAAGAAAGAAGAAAACCATTGTTTCGGCTCACACAAGCAGCTCCAGACTGTAATATCAGTAATGTGGTGCAGTGGCTCTGTGGCTGGAAGTTTGCCGGTTCGTATCCCACAGCCGGCAGAGGAATCCTACTCCGTTGGGCCCCTGAGCAAGGCCCTTAACCCCAGCTGCTCTAGGGGTGCTATATAAATGGCTGACCCTGCGCTCTGACCCCAAGCTTCTCTCCCTGTCTGTGTGTCTATGCAGAGCAAGCTGGGGTATGTGAAAAGACAAATTCCTAATGCAAGAAATTGTATTTGGCCAATAAAGTGATCTTCTCTTAATTAGTATACTTCTAATGGCAGTTCAGGTAGGTATGGTTGCTGCGTCAGCAGGCGTAGGCTGCAAAGGAAGAAGTAAAGGTTTATTCCCTGCTGAAAAGAGAAGAAAAGAAACACAACGTTTCGGCTGTGGAGCCACCTGAAAAAGGCTCCACAGTCATAATGTTCTGTTTCTTTTCTTCTCTTTTCAGCAGGGAATAAACCTTTACTTCTTCCTTTTACTTCTATTGGTTAACCTCAAGCACTCACACCCTGTCCAGACCCCAGGACACAGAGAAATGAGCACAGGCCTAAATGTTTTCTAAAACCTTTTCTGGTCCCTTTTACTATGTATTCGTAGAATACAAATCATACAAATCACTGCTTTCTCTCATGGTCCAGAAATGAGAAACGGCTTTAAGTCAATTTTATCAAGGGCTTTGATTCAATCCATTTTAAAACGGGATTGACGTATGTGAAACTAATGCCTTCATTAGACTAAATAAACACGTCACAAATAGGCCTTTAAATAGAATAACATATAGTTACAGTGCAATGAGTGAAGTCACATCTTTAATTACATTGATCACATGATTCAAGTTTTGAGAGTGTATTGCAACTAAACAACCTTTAGCAGTTATAAATGGAAAGGTTAACATACTGTACTTAATTCATAAGATTTCTAGTGAAAGTCAGATACCAATGTCTTTACAGCTGAAACCACTTTTATTAGTAGATAAATAATGTCAGGGATCGGTTGACTAAGTAAATCTGCATCATATGACTCAGACATTATCATTCAATTAAGTATTTTGCAATCAAGCATGCATCTTTTAACCAGTTACATGAATCCTTTATACTGCAATCGAAAAACAGAAGTACAAAGGCATTACAGCAACCTATGCAGTTCCTCATTCCCTTCCTCAGCCTCTAATTTAAAAAAACAGTGCTTTAGTTTGCTGACTCTTTATATGGGACAGCTTTGGGTCTTTATTGAAAAAATGCTTGATAAATAAGCAAGTAAATAATAATAATAATAATAATTGCTTACACTTATATAGCGCTTTTCTGGACACTCCACTCAAAGCTCTTTACAGGTAATGGGGACTCCCCTCCACCACCACCAATGTGCAGCATCCACCTGGATGAGATGCTTCCCTAAATGCAGGATTCCTTGGGCTTATGATTTTGATTCTGACATATTTGTTCTTGCAAATATCCTGACTTTATAATGATATGCCTCTACTCCGTAGTACAGATTAAATCAGCTTTAATTTAAAAAGTACTTTTTAAAGCTGACCTGTGAAGTATGAGGGTTTTTATTCTGGGGAGAAGATCTCAAGAAATACTCTTTGATATTGAAACCGTCATAGTTACTATACTTCAGAGTCATCCAGCATAACTTCTTTGTTCTTCTAATATACAACACAAAAATATTTTAGATAACTGCCTCAGCATTATTCTCCCCAGCGAGATGCATAGTGGTGCATTGAAGAAATGATACAAAGACGGATAACTAACTATCATGTTACCATCAATGCCTACAGCACAGTAGGCATTATGAAAATATTCATGCTTTCTCAGAGTGATGATTATTCACAATAAGGGTCACAGCAGCCTGTGAGTCTGTTCTGTTCTCACTGAGGACAGTGATGGAATAGACTATTGACAGGACCACCGGGTACACACATAAAGTCACCAGGGGGAAAATTTAGAGATGTTAGTTAACCTAAACATCATGTCCTTGGAAGGTGGGAGGAAAGTGAAGCAGCAGGAGAAAGCTCATGGACTTGAGAGAACATGCAAACTCCACACAGAAGGTACAACAGTTCAGAATCCAATGGGGGACACAAGAGCTGTTAAGCTACTGCTACAACAAAGTGCCACCCCTTCTTTTAAAATTTAGTATATTTTAATGTCTATGTGTCCACATACTGAGTTTCGTGAAGGTCGCTGGTGATCTAGGGAGCTGCTTCACGATGGATCTGCAATACCTCTGGTGAAGCAAAGTGACCTTCCTTACCTGGTTCTGAGGCTATCGGAGGCAGAACGTGTCCAGTTTTTCAGGTGACCCAACACAGCGCCGTCTTGTAACTGTTTCGTGTACTGAGTCAACAGCTCACGCACGACCACCTGAAATCAAGAAAGCGAGAAAGTTACTGGGTGATAGGCAGAACATCCCCCAGCTATTTTAAATAAGCAACGAGACATTTGCGATTAAGCTGGTTTTTAAACCACAGCACAGTACTTTCTGATGATCCTTTATTCACAAAAATATTGCCTTATAGAAAGCAAGAGTTCTTATTCCTCAGACATGGTTCTGAGTGGCTTAATGTGTAGTGGTGAGTTTGTAGCTTTGTGGGTAATATCCTGTCACAGTGACCTCCCACTCCTGGCTTGTGTATATTTCTTGAAATCATCAACAGACATGCTAAGACATAGGAAAAGATAAATGAGTCTAGTCTTTAACACGACTAACATAAGATAAACCCAGGAATCGCAAACACCTGTGAATATTATTACTGCTGTGTCTGGTGCATTGTTCACAAAACTACCCGCCAAATAATCTACTGGTGCACTCGGATCTTTCTTCAATTTTCTGCATTTTCTTCCCTACGCACATCTTCATAATGCAGGACAAAAACCATCTCCTCCTTCACAAGCACTGTAAAGGCACTGATAAGGAAGAACAACAATAGCTCCACCTTTTTGATTGGCAGATAAACCAGCTTGCGGGCCTTGCAAATTAAATAGTGCAGGCTAATTACTTTGCAGGGCTGTGCTATCTGTCTATTACGGATGTAGTTCAGATTCACCCCAGTTCACACTGCATTCTTTTCAGTTCTACAGAAGACCAATCTAAGGTAGGTTCCAGTAAATGCTGCTTTTTCTTTAAAACAGGTAGGGAGAGAACAAGCAGCTGCTACTTGAAAAATATAATGGGGGGGAGTAGTAGTGAAGGCCCATTTGGTTTGCAATGCAAGAAAAAAAACCTCAATGTTAAACCCATTTCAGTCACAAGCAGGAAAGTGAGCAGTGGGCCAAGAATACAGTACGTTGCGTAGTACGTTTTGCCAACATACACACAGACATATATAAAATTACTATGTCAGCTTGGTGGCTTGGCAGATTTTTTTTTGTTCCTTTTTATCAAAGGGAGTACTACTTTGACTGAACTCCTTCCCAGCTGAATCAGCAGAACACAACAAATCAGGCTCCATCCTACAAACGCTGTGCCGTTGTAGTTGTGTCCCTGCCAAAGAGTCATGCCTTTTTCATTTAGTGCTTGGTATTAATTTCATTCTCATGATAGGTGACAGATAATCCCAATGGCTAGAGACAGAAGCCATCCACACAGCTTTATTTCAGTGGAACCTAAGGCTGACTTGAATTCCCCTTACTCTTTCCCACCGAAGACTGACCTCTTGATCAGGCCAATTTGTGATGCATCTTTTTTTTTTTGCGAAGGAAGCTCAGCAGTGACGGCCAAGCTCATAACCACCCCCTTCGACTGGAGCCAGATTGCAATGCAGGCCAGCCAAGATGCGGTGTTGCAATACTGAGTCTCTAGGAGCTCATTGCAACATGCGGTGCGATTCAAAGAAATTATCATGCTCAAATAACACATTTACCACTACGGCAATAAATTGGTATTCATTGTTCAACAGCAACAGAAAAAGTTTCTATTTTTCCCCAACTTCTGTAGAATGAGGGACGGGATGGAAAAGAGATACAAGCAGTGCGTGGCACAGGATTTACGAGGGCACGCTCAAAAAAACGAAAAAGAAGGGACTCTTATACTCCTCTAGCCTATCCTGGCCCTGGACAAAAGCGGAGATAAAGCACATTCACACTCCCAGGGTGAGCGCTGTTTGTTCATTCTGCTGTAAACACAGCTGTCCTCCTGCGTCTTCTCAGGACACTTTACTCAGCGCGGCTATTTCTAAGGTAACCAAAGTCTTCACACGGAAAAGACTTTAACCTATCTACTTTATCTTTTTTTTAAACAAAGGTATTCTATTTCCACACCCAGTGTTTGCCAGACTGCATTAATACTCCTGACAAGATCATTTAATTTAAGAAGCCCCACTGGCTCTGTGTTTCATCATTTGAGTTCATGTGAATAGCAACCTTGTTTCACAGACGGCATCAGAAAACCAGACTGTTTTCCGAACAGGCACTGAGGATTTCATTCTTCACTCATGTGGTCTGTTGCTTCAGGCAAGAGAGGCTGTGGTGTACATGAATCCCGAAACGACTTGTTGTGACTGAGGTGGGCCAGAAGCACGGCTCATCCGAAGCTTGAAACGAGACTTTCCATTGGCCTCTTCAAAAGCCTACGCTTTTACCTGAAGAGGGCCTGACCTGGAAAAAACATTTGTTTCGCTACAACATAAGGAGTGGGGCTGCATTTTTTTTAAATTCAACCTTTATTTCAGTACAGCCTGAACTTCCTAAAGAAAAAAAAATGGATTTGAACCAGTCCAGCCAAAGAAGAGGATTGCTCACCTTGGATTGGACTTTGGAATTCTTTGCAGTCTACTTTCTTCCAGCTGAGAAAATTGACACCTTTTTTGAGTCGCTGCTCAATTATTAAGAAATAGGCACAAAAAAAAACAAGCAAGCATGACCAATATCAAGAGATTAACTGCAGCCGTTTAAAGAGGAAGTTGCAGGTTCTTGACAAATATAGTATTGTACAGTACATCCTCTGTATCTTGACCATGAGCGACTATTTCATTTCTCTTACAAGCCATACTGTTATTGTTCCATCTCTCACATCCTTAAATAGCTCTCTTTGTAACACTTAAACACATAAATAAAACTCTCATTTGTTCTTGCTTGCTTATTCTACATACAGGTTTACTTGTCAGTACACCTGTGAACGATGAAAAAACAAGCCCAGACAAGTTGCCACCACATAGAAAAATTCAAGTTGATTTTTTATTGAGCATGTTTGTCTTACACAGCTACAATCGTTGATTGTTTTTCCCTGATTCCATGTTGGTCCCAGGGAAGAAACTCACCCCCAGGTTCCAGCAGGAATAGCTGGAATATGGGGGCCTCCCCTTGTGCTAAGGGAACATGCCTAAGACCACGATTTTTACAGGATGTGGATGATAAGAAACACAAAGCATATCATACAAACTACACTCATAAAAGAAAGTTAACAACAATTGTTTGAAAAATATTGTTTTGCTGTCTATAAAAAGGTTCTTTCAAAGCCAGTGCTACAGGGCAAATGTACCATTGTAACAGATTTTAAAAAAAGTTATTATAGTTTGGTAATTGGAACAGATGGAAGAAATTTAACCAGTACTACACATGGGGTAAAAACACAGTTGTCACCAAAAGTTGTGGAAACAGTACACTCTAGAGTCAAAACACTGTACCAAACCTTAAGACCAACAGGCTTTTGTAAGAGCGCCCTTTATTTGTGCTTGTTGGTCTCAAAAAGTGATATTAAAAACAGAAGAGTGTCTCCTGATCCAAACAAAAATTCTAAATCCATGCAGGGTACATACGGGACTGGATACTGGTCCATCACAGGACACACACGTATGATCAATATGGGCAGCAAGTGGAGGAAACCAGATAACCAATAGAAAAACTACCCAGCCACAAGTGGAATGTCCAAGCTCCAAACAGAAGGCCAGAATTGAATGTAGCATACAAGAGCAGTGAGACAGCAGCTCCAATGCCAAGTGATTGAGTCACCTGTACTCAGTTCTGATGTGGAAAATATCAATTCCCATTCTAGCGCTGCTATAGGCAAGAAACATCCTCTAGATACAGTATCTGTATATTGCATAAAAAAACATTATTGCAGAGTCATGTTAAGTTTTTCTCTTTCCACACAGTCAGCTTGCACAACAGAAAAGCCCATCTTTTAATTGAAATTCATGAACATTTTCTAAATGAATAACCCACTTTCACACTGCTCCAGATTTGTAATAGAGAAAATAGTTAGATGCGAGGGCTGAAATAGTTTAGTTTTAGATACAATATTGACAAAAGTCAGCCTACTACTGCGCGAGGTGAGCAATTTGTCACAGAAAACAGTGAAAACTGTGGTGTATAAATAACACTTGAGGAGTTATATTTATAACCTTTAACAGCTGATAAAACAAAATTAGCATTCATTTCTTGAAATATTCTGTGAGTTTAGAATCCTGCAGATTACTTCCCTCAAAAATTGAGGAATTCTCCATGGATGCTGGAGGATTCTTTTGTAGGGAAAGCAATTTATTGGAATACAAATGGCTGGAGGATGGAGGAAGGTAACCAACAAGTTAAGAACAAAACAGCAATAGAGCAAACAAGGAGAAACTGAATTTCGGTAGCACTTAATACAGGTGTTTATCAGAGATACTAATTGCTTGTAGTAGGACAGACTGGACAGGTATAGACACCCTGTGGAGGACTGGGTATTGTGATGTAAGGGCTTACAGCATGAGTCAGTGCCAACACAGTGCAAAACGACATTGTGTCCTTAAGAAGAAGTCATGCAGAAGGATTTTTTTTTCAAATTGCGCAAACAGGATGATTTTCAGAAATAGTTTGCAAAATGATTTTAAAGTCAGGTTTACACGATTAAATCACTTTACTTAGGTTTATAAAGGCAGAAAACAACTCAATTTAAAACAAATATCAAATATTTGGTAGCCCCAATTACAGTTTATAAATCACTTTGTAGCCTTGTTCCTTCCTGTATTTAGAAATGAGGACCTGAGTGTCCAAAGGGAAATTTTCTCAGATGTCTTGGTAGTTTAGAAACCCAACTTCTGCTAAGGGTCCCTGAGTTCAGATTTCAAAACACATTTCTGTTTACGTCAACACTGTAGCTAATATACAGTGGCAGACATACAGTACAGTACACACTGATACTCTGTATACTAAAACAGAACTATGCACTATTTAAATTGACTTTTGAAATAACATTTTCTAACAATAAACAATACTTTTCAAGATGAGTAAAACCTGTAGAGTTGTTGAGTAGGTGGGTCACTTTTACTGTAAATGATCAAGAGCATATTCTTACTTTGATGATCAGATAAAAGCTCATGGTAGAAGTGTCAGCAAGGGGACCCTCTTGCTTGTCTCTGCTTATTTCCACTGGGCTAAGGAAATAAGACCTGGCTGTTTCCTTAATGAGAATGCAGGTCCCTCTGCATTTCACGTTTCTCTAATGCTGTTAAATGGTCTCTAATGCTCAGAGGCAGATGCTGTGTTATCCTGCTCTGTGAGCACTACAGTAGGTGTGATCTCCAGCATAACCACACCTGTGATGAAGTACAGACAAACCAGCCCCTGCCTGGAAATTGATTTACATTTCAACTAAGTACAATGCAACATATTTGTCCACATTTATAGGGTAATGTATCTACGGTATGATTCTCACAAGTAAGAAAAAATTAAAAAATTCTACTTTTGTTTGCAGCACAACTGAAGTGATCTTAAAAGCTGTGCGACCATGTCAACAATATTCTGATATTCAACTCCGGTTCTTTGGCATATAGCTGTTTATACAAAGTCACATGTATCAGACAACACTGTGCTTCATGTACAAATGTTATCCGTGTTTGCAATTCAGATACAGGAAGACTTTCAGAATGAGTAAACCATTGATTAGAAGATTCTTTCAAGTGAGAAAATTCATAGTTCTGCAAACCTATGGAGTATACTGTATCTTGCAATGTTTGTTTTCATACGAATTTCTTCAGAAGGTACAGCACATGGCGGTTTCAGTTTCAGAGCGGGAGAGTGTTGCAAAGAGAGTTTCGAATCTGAACTTTACCAGCACTGTTGCTGATAAGACAGCCTACTGTTGCCAGGGGTTAATTTACAAATTCTTCACACACTCAGTGGTGTCCTGGTTTGAACAACCTGGACTAGAAGCTACACAAGGCCAGGCAGTGTTTCACACTGGTTGAGGAGAATGATTCATTACCAAGAGGGTCAAACACTCCAAGAGACCTCCGCAGTTTTATTATTGTTAAATAAGTGTGTTTTTATTTAACAGCGTCTTGACGAAACAGCATGGAGATTAAAAAAGTAATAAAACTGCTTGATACTTAATAAGAAGCAGACCGCCAGGTTTTTATGCTGTGATCTGAAAGCAAAGAAGAACTGCCACATCCATCTTATTTGCAAACTAGTTAAAATTTCTTTAAACAGCAGGGCATTTAAAAAAGATTACAGAAATTATTTGATTGCATATGGTGGAAAACATTAAACAGGTTCACAGTGTGTAAATGGTGTAAGTAATATTCAGAATTTTAGACTACAGTACAAAACAAGTCATTTTACCTGCAGCATGACGACATTGTCGCCCTCAAACGTCACAAAAACATCAGAGTCACACTTCAAGGATGGTATGCGGTTTGCCATCATGAAGCCCTGAAGAAAGAGCAAAGCAAGTTGGTCAGTTCCCTCTGCTCGTTACTAACTTCCACAAGTTACTGAATGAAAAGTTTTCTCATGAATGACGCCTTTCAACTGGCTCTATCTGAATCAAGAATTCCTCCCTGCAGAGGTAACAGTAACGTGAGGTTTTCTGAGGCATCAACACTATTGTTTTTTAAATACGAATGAGAATAAATTGCATTTCTAAAGTGCTTTTTGTCCCAAGTGAACCCAAAGAAATTGCTACACATGGGAAGGGATTCATTCTTTCATCAACACAGTGCAGAAACCACCTAGGTGACACACAGCTGCCCCACTATTCTGTAGATCGGGCGGAAAAGTGAAAAACTGCTCCACAAACTGTGTAAAGTAGGCCTGTTTGTACAGAAATCCTCCAATACAGCATTAAAAGCAACCAATCCACCAAGACTGCACTGCTCATATTCTTCCAGGACTCTGCAAGTGAGAACGCTCAAGTAAAACCAAACCTTCCTTTCAGTTTGCTGTTTATTTAATCCATCATGAAATGTCAGACTACTGTAGCTGTCTACTGGGCAATAGAACTGTTGGTAATGGCAGCAGGTGAAATACTTCAATACAGACCGCCCTGAAGCCTGCTCTTTCTGATAGGGCGCTTGGACACAGCACTGCCAGTCCCAAGCCCGAAACACTGACGACAGGCAGCTGTCGGCAAGATGCAACAGAAAGATACAGAGTGGTAAAGAAGAATTAAGCAAGGAGAACAAAGGATATTAAAGCCACACAAAACAAGCACAGGGTAGCAAGTCACTAGTGGTGAAAGTGAGTTGACGAAAGAGATGGAAAAAAAAACAGTGCAACTCTTTGAGGCAGGGCTTTGGGGGACTATAGAAACAAAACTATTAATAACTCCTGACAAACCCAGAGATGCTGTTACGCCTGGTCAGTTTGACATTTGTGTGGTTGAAACTAAATAGGCAAATGAAGTAGGTGATACGGAATGCAAAATATTTATAGGGTGCTTCTTGATTAACAGTGCATCCCATTCCTAAGCATTTTAAAAGCCAGATTGAAAAAAACAAATGTAAACACAGGTGTAAAGTATGTACTGTATAAGCCTGTGTCTTCCTTTTATGAAACAGAGCTCCTAATTGATCTCACACACTCTGAGAGTGAGAAACAGCGACGGAGCATCACTGCGCTGACATTCAGGGGAGGAGTGACAGAGGGTTTGACATTAAACACTGGTGTTGCCGCCTGCACGCCCACCACCACTGGGTCCGTTAGTGGTTTCCTTTCTCCTACACTGCGCTGTTTCAGGAGAGATGACACTCGACTTCTCCTTGTTGAGGTAACATCTGTGGAGCTGACAGTTGAGGCTGAGTGTGTTCTCTCTGGGTGCCTTTGGGACAGGAGCACCACTGATTGAAAAGGAGCACCACAACAACAAACAAAAAAAAAGCCACACGCCCCAGTGACATAAAAATCCTTTAGGATCCCATCGTTGCAACGTGTGTGGGGCTGTATTTCAGTTTCTTACGCTGTGTGTGTCTGCAAGGGAAACGTTGAGCTGTCTCAATCAGAAGAAGCAGCTGGAAAGACCAGTGCAAAATTCACTCCACTTCTTTAATCTCAAACCAAACAAAAATGAAACATTTTTTTCTGTTCCCTTTGCCACAACTATGTTTTACCTCATCTTCCCTGTGGGCAAACTGCCCACATCATAGGAAAGAAATTTAGCTCATTTTGCCCACAGGAAAAGAATCAGACCTGTTGTATCGCATTAAATGTGCACTATTAAAATGTTATAATTAGCTTCAGAAACTCAGAAGTAAATTGTGCCTTAAAAACCATCTTGTTTTTTGTAATGCAAACAATACTCACATTCATTTTACATTACAAAAATTTCCATTAGCATAAGTAGTATATTTTTATTGTGATAATAATGGTCTATTCAATGCAGACTGTTTCAGGTCCGTGACACTTAAAAGCGTTTAATCACACTGTAAAACACTGCAATCAGATGATTTCTATTTACTACTTGATGGAGAGACGGAGTTTTTCAAGTGAGACAAAATTGTTTTACATACTTGAACAGAAACATCTACTTGCAGTTTGTAATCTCTGTAGTGGTCTCTGTGCATTACATGCACATACAATATTTTAAGGCCAGAAGCGTTGTACTGTAGCTACTGTATAAGGAGATATAATTTAGTGTAAAACATTCTAGTATTCTGGGCTCTGGGTTTGATCCTAGTGCCTGTGCTGTCTGTGTGGAGTTTGCATGTTCCATTTGGTTTGTGTGCGTTCTACAGGTGCTCTGGTTTTGCCTCACTTCCCAGAGATGTGCTCGTTAGGTTGGAATGGCTGTTCTCCATGGTCCCCTGGGGTGTACCTCCAAGAGGAAAGCGACTGGGCTCCCCATCTCATTACCTCACCAGGAGGGGAAGGGTCGAAGCACCCTATTCAAAGATGTGCCTACACAGAGATTCAGTGTACAGTAGCAAAGATGTAATTAGGTAAACTGAGCTTATTAGTCAGTTAATAAGTGAGATGTAATTAGCTACGTAATGAGCTTAGTTGTACATTTAATTTCCATTTAAGGGAAATTTTGTCTTCAAGTGTCCCAGTAAAACACAGAGCCACAGAGCCCTGCTGTGCTTGTGTGTGAGAACAGACAGTGGAGGAGGCTCACCATCCCGCCTGTGCACTCCCTGCAGTCCTGCAGGCAGGCCAGGTTCTCCCAGGTGCTGTAGGCCTTCAGCCCAGCCACCAGGGCCTGCAGAGCTCGGTTCTTCATCAGATCCCTGCCGCGACACAGCTCCCCGTCCATCACCTCCGCTGCAGACCTACAGCGGCACATTTGCTTAAGTCAACAGGCTTTAACGGGAAACGCTTAAGCCAACGCTTAAAGGTCAACTTGGCAATGGGAAAAAGAATAAGCTTAAATACCAAGATTTCCACCTCATTTTCCATGCATGGAGCTCCAGGTAGCCATTTTGAAGGATCCAAGTTAGTGATGTACAGTAATGCGTGACTTTGCTGATCCTGGCCAGGGACTGGAGGAGTGGCAGGAAATGTGCAGACTTGACAGTGTCTCAGCCCTGAGTCTGCAGGCAGCCCAGCTGTCCTCTTTCCACAAGGCAGAGTCAGAGGAGGTCAAACAAAAACGGTAAAATGATGAAGAAACGTTTCGCCTATTGGAACCACCAGGGCTGGATTTTGGTGTTCGTAGGCCCGAGGCACTTTCACTCCGAAATGTGCAAAACGAGGGGTAAACGCCAGTTGAATGACGTCGATTGACATGATGCACTTTAAACTATTCTAATGCTAAACCACGTGATTGATGGAGGGGAGTCGAGCGACCATCACTTCGATACTTCTAGTTTCTAGAACAGAAGCCCGATAGCGTATGATTATTGATTTGGAGCACCTAGAGTCGATCACAAGCGTGTTGCTTCAGCTCATTTTTCGTTAGTAACCAGTGTTTCCCTCCTCCTCCTCCTGAGCCTACAGTGCCTAATGGGAAATCCAGCACTGGCAACCATGAAAATGAAGGTCGAATTCTAGGTACATCTACTGTATAGACTGTACATCTCATAATAGAAATGGTAATGGAAGAGAAGGGGTTACAGTATATAATGCAAAGTACATATTAGAAATGCACATTTTGCTCACTGCACATCAACCACCAATTAATGCCACCCCACCTGAAGGTCTATATAAACATGAGCAATGATGCCATTACAGAGTTTTAAATTCGTAGTGAACACTAAATTAGCAGGGAAGGAAATAGTACATGACAAGAGCCAAAAATCAAAGTTTTAGCTGAGAAATACAACTCATATTAACTGACTACAACCCAGCTTCACGTTTCACCAATTGCTCGAAGACTCTGAGGGGGGTGAAGAAAATCAGTACTGTTGATAACAGCACTGGTTCTAGGAAGAAAATCCCAAATCTCCAGAAAGTGATGTTATATTCCTCAGAGGAAATCTTCTGCGACACGAGGCGACAATCCAGGTGAGATCTTTAGACTGGCCCTGGTGCACATACAATTGTACAAGACACACGTCAGCACAACAAGGTCTCAACGGCTGAAGAGCTGCGTCGAAACCTTTGCTTCGTTCCTTCTGTTTAGTTTCCTCTCCTCCACAAACCACCAAGACCAGCTTGAGATTCTGTGTTTGACAGGAAATTGTACAACACCTCCAATTATATCAGCAATAGGAAACAAAACAGAACGTTAGAAGGAGACAAATAGAATGTAGTTGAGCTACATCAGTAATGGAAACATATTTATCCTCCAGCTGAAGCTCTCGATGCACAGACTAATTAAACACTTCTCTGTTGGTCAAGGGGTCTCAGGACAGAGGACCGACAGTAGATCAGAGGAGGAAGGGAGGGTTTACAGTGGAGAAATAAACTGACAAAACAGAACATTTGGCTCCTTGAAGGAAGAGAGACTCTTTACTGGGCCACAGGCTGGGAGCTGTAAAAAGTTTAAACCATAAAGGTATAGTGGTTACAACCTACAGACCAGGTTCAGTTCCTTTCTTTACTGCTGATCACTGACTCATCAATGGCATTTCTGTTCTCTGTGAATATTTGCTGAATTATGTCAAAAATATAAAAGCGCTGGTGCCTGCAGTTTACTTTTATGTAACCTGATCTATTCTATAATGTATTAATTGAACTTCATAAGGAACTGAAGGGATGTTCAGCACTTTCCACTTTGCATTGAGGTGTCTGTGTGCCTTTTAAAATAAAAAAAAGCTTTAGCCCACACCATAAGACACACACAGAGAAGGCAGAAATTACAGAGATATTAAAATATTCCAGAAAGGTGCTTCAAGATTTTTTTATCTTTTCTTAAATATAAGAGTGGACGTTATTGTTTTCCCTTCTCTGTAAACAGAGGTATTTAAAAAGTGGCAAATGGGGGGGGTTGTATAATAAATACAGGATCATTTGATGATTTCTCAAAATTACATGACCTGGGAGCTATCACGATTTTATAATCTCGTATGATAAAAGGTTATGGACATAAAGATCTGGTAAAACTGCAAAGTGTAGACAATAGTCTGCAATCCCTTGGCAATGCCCAGTCCACCACTCAGGAAAGAAAGGAAAACTAATATATGGAAACCCATATACAGTATATGAGGGCAGAAACGGAAATGTACCACATTCAATTAATGTTCAGAACGATGCTGCCCCTGAAGAGGGCCAGAGGTCATATATGACGCACTTACTGTGTATTTTCTCCCTATAGTAAGAACACAATCCAATTCCAAACAAATAACAAAACACAAAAAAACAACATGCAAAAGCTGAAGAAGCCAAAAGCTGCAACTTGCCGCAGTGAAACCAAGAGTGAAACTAAATGACACTGTAGGTCTTTGCTGATGACGACAGGCTCTAATGGCTTTGGGCAGTGATTTCAACAGATGTAGCACTGCGCAGGAGAAGGCAACAGATGTTATATTAAAACTGCACCCTGCCTTGCTAAGACCTCATTTAGAATATTGTGTCTAAACAAAAGTGACCAAAAACACTTTTAGTCAAGATGTTACAAACAGCTTTTTTTTTTTGTTTGTTTCGGAATTAGTTCAGGGAAGAGCAATAAGATACATTCCCGACTGAATTGAGGGGAGCCGATTCAATCATTCTAAATCCCCAAACACACTATCAAAACTGTTACAAACCAGAGGAGACACGCGGAATTGCAATTAAAAAGGAGGACTGGAGGTATTTCTTCACAGAAATGTCTTTACAGGGCTGTGGGGGTTTGGAGCCTGGCTTCTTTCAAGAAACAGATCGATGAGATTCTTACATCAATTAACTACTAACAATCAAGTGGGCTAGAGGAGAAAATGTGTCCTATGCTCTTTTTTATGTTAACTCAGTGTCATGAATCAGATAAGGTAAAGAGAAGATAAGATCACTTTACTGGCTAATTTCTTGCATTAGGAATTTGTCTTTTCACATACCCCAGCTTGCTCTCCATGAGACACACAGACAGGGAGAGAAGCTGGGGGTCAGAGCGCAGGGTCAGCCATTTATACGGCGCCCCTGAAGCAGTGGGGGTCAAGGGCCTTGCTCAGCGGCCCAACGGAGTAGGATTCCTCTGCCGGCCGCGGGATACAAACCGACAACCTTCCAGCCACAGGCCCCCCAGTATGTGAACAACTCATGTTCATTGCCATTAACCAGTGAAACAATGCTTCCCATTTTGAAATACAGATAAAATCCATTCAGTTCAACTCACATTCATGTACCAAATGCCGGTTAATGAGGACTGTACTTACAAACACCCTTAAACTTTTGCCCTGCACATGGCTGTCGGATATAATGACGTGTTTATTGTAAACACACAACAAAAAAACTCAAAATGCACAGCAGCTGCTAGGAAGTTGAAAGACCAAAATGCATTCATTTCCAGGAAAGAAGTCAAACCTGCTTCTGTTTTCTCCTTCATCAGTATTTTGAAATGAAAAATAACATGATCATCATGGTCGACTGGGTGAAATTAAAGACGGTGACACTCAATCTGAAAGCAGAAGTGGTGTGAAATAACACTCTATTTTTAACTTTTTTTTATTCTTAATTTCACCTAATGTCTGAGTAAATATTTATTTTGAAATTGGCTTATACAACATAAAATACAGCCTAGGTTTTTGACTTCATAACCAGCAGAGACACATCTACAAAAACACTACTCTCTCCCCACCCTCAACCCAGAGGTGGGACAAATGAGACATTCAGACTCAAGGTCTATATTAGAATGGTAGATAGACGGATCTCCAAAGGATTCTTTCAAAACTAGGCTTTAAAAGAGCTAATATTGTTAGAAACAGTGCTCCCCTCTCAAGAGCGAGCACTGCCATCTAGTGGTAAAAACAAGTAATTGAAAGTGCATTCTTCAATGTGCTTTTTCTCTGCTTGGTAATTTCTGCACTCTGGAGGCTCCAAATAGGACTAAACAATAAAGACACTCACTCTGTGCACAAGGCGATACCTACAGTTCAGAAAGCACTGGCTTGAACCCAGGCTTTGCCAAAGTGTTTTAAAGGCAACGGGCACTCTTCTCCACCACCACCAGTGTGTAGTCCCCACCTGGATGATGCGACGGCAGCTACAGTGCGCCAGTACACTCCCCACACACCAGCTGGGGAGGAGAACAGAGTGATGAAGCCAACTGATGGATTGGAATTATTAGAAAGCAATGATCGGCAAAGGCCAGGGGGAAATTTGGTCAGGACACCAGGTTAACGCCCCTACTCTCTTCTATAAACACCCTGGGATTTTGAATGACCACGGAGAGTCAGAACCTTGGTTTTACGTCTCATCCGAAGGACGGAGCCATTTTTACAACATAGCGTCCCCGTCACCATACTGTACATTAGGACCCACACAGACCGCAGCGGGAGCACCCCCTACTGGCCCCACTAACACCTTTTCCACCAGCAACCTGAGCTTTCCCAGGAGGGCTCCCATCAGGGTACTGGCCAAGCTCACATGCTGGCTCTCTCTGGTTTGCTAGAAAACAGTGCCAGCCGGGCCGCGCCATCAGAAAACGATGAGCCGCCCCTGCAGTCAGTGTTGTTGCTCCAGCAGCTGTGGAACCTGAAGCATGTCAGTGGGTCAATTCAGACATGTGCATGTTGCATGTGGTGGGTTTGATATGGTCCAAGATTCCAACCTCTGTGATCTATGGGGAAGCCTGGAAACCTTCAGTGTTACTCCATGTGAGAGCTGTGGCACTCATCACGTCTCCCCTGCAGCTCTGCTGCTTGCAGGGGTAAAAGAATCAGGTGGCTTAACATCATACAGTGTCTGCATGTCTTTCCTTGCCGTCTTCTTTCACGGCATCATCGAACCGAGGTGCTTAACAACAGGCAATCTCAGAAATTTCAACCAAAAAATAAAATGTTACAATCAACAAAGCCAAACCATTCTGCTTAAACTGGAAATTGGTGGAAATTGTCTATTGTTGATCAGGAAGTTCTGAGGAATTAATCAGCAATCTCCAGAAAACTGAAAACAGGTAAGCTTATCTCTGAGGAAATAAACAAAGGGGTTATGTGGCTGATTTTGTGCATTGTATTACTGTAACTTAGGCTGTGAAAAAGCCACAAAGCATGCTGTTCAAGTTTCAGCTCCGTACATGACTCTAACCACTGCTAGGAATCCTCCACTCAATCACCTTTCAATCATTCCTGTAAGTCACAAGTCAGGTATTCGAGAAGGCTGAATGCACAATAACAATTTCCTGTAATTATCTATATGGACTACTGGATATCTGCAGTGCTGCTTACCCACTTACAGTAAACAAGTTCTACACATGCCCTGTTTTCTGCTGGAATTTTAATCAATTCTAAGGCTGTATCACAATTCTTTAAACAAACCTCATGACTCAGGTATGATTTTGCAGTTTTACACAAATAACTGGCTTTCACATCTCATGATACAACTCAGCAGGCCCCACTCTCCCAACATCCAAAATGGAGTGTGTCTCCAACAAAACAACATTAAAACAAATGATTTGTTTTCTGTCCGCCACAGGACCATACTGGGAAAGACTGACAGGTTTGAGGCAAAGATGAGGGGGACTGTGAGCAAGAAGAGCCTTACATATCAGAACTGCATGAACATGACTTTGCCCACGTGATACACAGGACTACAACACACATCAACAACGGCAGCCGCCCGACAGCAGACAGCGTTGGTCTTATTGCCATGGTAACCATGGTGGTACAAGAGGTGAGCAGCAGGTTGTTTCACACAGACTGTGGACATTACCTGGTGGTGAACGTTAACGCTAAAGCACAGGCCAGGTGAGGCATCAGCCGAAGATACTGTGTCTGGTGTTCGATTATCTTCACTTCTTCTTGGTCCTTCGGTCCAAACTGCCTGCGACTGGAGAAACAAAACACAACATGCAGTTCTTAACAGCCTGTTGTGCAAGAAAATGTGGCTCCAGGTACAGTACGCTGAAAAGCAGGTACAGGGAAAACGATAGCAGTAAATCAATTTCCATTTGTCTAACTGGGCTTTTATGCTCGAAAATGTTTCTCCAAACATTTACAGAGTAACAATGTGTGCTACAATCATGTATCTGTTACTTTGCCTCTCTAAAACAGCTTGTTTGGGAAAGCAGGTCAGAAATAGAGTAGATTTATCTGCATCTAATTCTCAAAGAGGCCCATTGCACATGCGGATGCTATGCATGCAACAATGCCACTATTATCTCAAATGAAAAGAATGCAAAAAGGGCCATCAAGGAAATGGGCCAAAATGTGTGTGGTTTTTTTTTGCTTGGAGTCCACAAAACACACAGTAAGAAAAGGCAATATGAGACTGACATGATTTTAACCAGCTCAATCATTGCTCCATCAACAGCCTGGTGTGAAAGAGGATGAGAAGAGAAAACCAAATACACTTTATTTTAAAAATGTGACTTTTTTACTTATCTTTTTTTACTTATTTGCTTTACTTTTGGCAACAACCTTCCCACATAAAGCCATGTCAGTGCAGACATGTGGTGCAGCTGAACCTGAAAACGTCTGCAGTACAGGATGTTAATTGTTCCTGCTCCATGTCTTATATTTCAAACTCATGAAAGCTGCCAGACTCTGGGGCCGATTTAAACCTGCCAAATGTCTTCACGGACGTGATGACAGAAATAATAGAAATGACAGAGAAACTTTTAAACCCTTATAAACCTGGCAAAATAGGCAGAAAGACAAGCTCTTTAAATGAATTCAAATTGTATAATGGAACAAGTAAGGCCAGTTTTTTTCGCCACCACACAAGAAAAGATACAGCTGTTGCTCTGGAATTAGTCCAGGGATGAGCAACCAGATTTATTCCTGATCTTAAAAGGAAAGCCCTACAAGAACTGGACCCTTCCTGTCTTGAACAGCGAAGACTACAGGGGAACCTGATCCGAAAACGTCCCAGGCCCTGATGAAGTCAATAGCCAGGATTCCTTCAATGACACTGAATCAACGCTGTAGCACAAAGCAGGGGACACGGGTGCAGTGGAAACCCCAGCACAGTGCTTTTAGAGCCAAGACAGGGGAGGAACTTCTGCTCACAAAGGATTCGGGGTTCCCGGAACAAGCTGCCCACCCACGTTGTCGAACCCGAGACCATAGCATTGGAACAAAAGGCTGGATTAGGTTGTTGGACCAATTAGCTACTGCAATTCACAGTTAAAAAGCTCCATGTTAAAGTGAAAGTTAAAGAGCTCCATGTGGGTTTCCTCTTTTTTGCCAACTTTATTTGGTTCTAACGTACTTAGTATGCCTCAGCTTCAGTACTTGCAAGACACAGAGCATAGATGTCTTGTATAGAGACATATATTTTATTATATCCCAGCTCTTTGTTGAGGAACTAAACTCATTCTCATGACAAATTCAGGCAGCTAATTGACAAAATCCCATGATGCCTGGCGGACTGAGGAACAGAGCTCACTACTAATACATGATGCGTGACCCCAGGATCAGAATCTCATTGAACAACTCCATCCCCTACGGCTCAGGGATCAGAGATCAGTTTCAGCCAGTGAGTTTGTCAAGTCGTAGAGTACTCTATCAAACGCACTGTGAGTCAAGTAGAATATATTTATTTCCTTTGAGACATATCATAGGTGCCTGAATGACTTTCACTACTTTTTGGGTTTTCACTTGGATCCACACTAACCACTAGGGTTGATATTATTCACATTCTCAATTATCGTATGACGCTACCGCTCGACTTTTTCAGTGTCATGTCAACTGGGTGCTCCTACAGAAACCCAAAGGGGATTGTGGTGCCACTTCCTCCTCATACAGCAGCTTCATCATTTAGAAAACTAAAAATAAAATATCGCTGCAGATGCTCAGAGCTTAACGTTGCCCTGTTCCCCAGACACAGTCCCTTTGAAGCGACCTTATCTTTTCACTTGAACTATATCTTCCATTAATTAAATAACATTCTGAAGATTTGGAGTTTTCTCTACTGCTCCCGGATAGATTCATTAATCCTTCTGCCTTTACGGAGGATGGTGCTTACCTTTCAAGCCAATACATTAGACGTCAAGGGAGTCACAAGACTTTTTTTTCTCAACCTCTCTAACGTTTCTGGGAGGAAGTCTGCAAGTTTATACCCTTCGCGCTTTTATATGTCAAGAGTCTATAAATAGCTCCCACAGGGGGTTAGGCTGAGGAAACACAGTGGCATTCGCCTCTTGTGTTGCCATTGTTGGGTTTTTTTTGGTCTACGCAGCTCAGGGGAAACATTTCCCAAGAACCTTTGCTTCCGCTCCTGCTCCAGAGAGCCAGCTGTGTCTGCGGTGCCTCGTGGCCTCACCAGCTTCCACTGCTCCGCTGCCAGGACTCGGCTACACTGATTAGCATAAGAAAGGTTACAAAGGAAAGGAGGCCCTTCAGCTAGTCCGTTTCATAGACAGATCCAGACAGTTCTTGGGAAAAAAAAAAAACAGTTCTGAAGTTCTGAGAACATGGCTGGCGCAGCCTGGACCACACTCACGCCTGCGTGAAGAAATGTCTCCTGCTCCCAATTTTTCACTGCACCTCTGCACCATTTCCCCATGGTCTCAGGTTTGTGTTTGGCTGCTGATTCCAGGGGACTGACTTCTGTCAGTGTTTGAGGAGTGGAAATATTTGAATCCAGCCTGCCCCTCTATCTTGTGGTCTTCACTGTTCGAAAGTGCTGGGAATAACTGTGAAGTGATCAGGATTTTGTGCAAAGTGAGTTTTCGAGAAGTTGGGTGCTTATTGCTTCCCTTTTAGCAAATTAGAGTAAGCAATAATATTTCCCCTTTTGTGTATCAGATCAGTATAGAACATTATTTCACCTGACTTGCGTGCAACACAGACAATGGCCACAACTATTCTGGATAAATGAAAATGACGCACATAAGCCCTCAGAGTACAAACAAACCACTTGCAAATGTTTGCTACCCATGTCCTAGATAATGCTAAATAAAATTCAAACAACACACCAAGGATGACCCTTTTCATTCCCATTATTGGCAATGGTCAGCTACAGTGTAATACAATGGGCAGTACTGACCCATGTCATGACCCGGAACCAGATCAAAACCCTCCTGGGGCTATAGGTAAATATATAGTATTTCAGGGCTGCTACACAAGGGTTCTGTGGGTATGTGCTTCCAGTGTATATATCCCTCGATACCAATGGGTTCTGTGATCATGAAAAGGACATCAAGCTTGGAAATTACTGCTAAATGGTCAGCTACTGTTAGAGAACCAATGTTTTTCATTAAGACTCGCAGAAAGCAAAACCACGACTGACACTTCGTCAGAACATACAGTCAGAAAGGGTCCAAAAAAGCGACCACTTGACTGTTTGGTTGCAGGTAGCTAACTGATCCCAATAACTCATCCAGGTGTTTTTTTGAAATAAGACATGTTATTGGCATCAAAATCATGGCTGGGCAGCTTGTTACAGATCCTACAAAAAACTTTTTGGCTTCAGTAATTTGTGGTTGTCTAAAGCATTTAAAGCAAAGGCGGCTGTTATTACGCATACAAAGCAGAACCACATCAGCCCCATATAATCCTGGGTAATTGTGAAAGGCCAATAAAATTGCCAACATGGATGAACCACCACAAAAACCCCTTTGCAAGATTTAGCAAAACAGCTACATTCCATCTGTAGAATTGTTTTAAGAATTAAATTTCAGTGCTTAGATACTAAGAGGCATTAACATATGCTACAAGTTTCAATACTTATTTGTTGCATTTTTAATATCCTTCTGTATACACTTCTGTATCTACTTGATATGCATATATAGGTTGTAAGCAATCGATTAACATGTTAGTGAGGTTGATATAATCAGTCACAGAGATGTATTACTGTACATAACCGTAACCCTGGGGTTTGGGTTAGAGCAATGTTTCAGCCTGTGGTCAGATTACGTTTATTTTTACAGCAATCCAATTAATATATAGTACAGGTTGGTTATTATGACCTCCATCACTCTATTATTACTTTCTATTTCTTTGATAAAACATTTTTAATACCACTGTAACCCCTAATGGAAAGTGTTGCCAAGATTTAGTAATTAAATGGTAAGCTTAAGAGGCAATACAAATTTGTTATCAAAAATATATAGGTCGTATTAGTTCATTATAGGCTGATGTGCTCCAAACACTGCTGTGCTACTGTGCTTCTGCAAAGCATTAGGTGTTCAAAAATACTTTATATCAGCTGCCTTTTCCTGTTATTTAATTTCTTAGAAGTTTCATATCCTTTGGTATATGTTTTTTAATGACATGTCAGTAGTCATTTCAATATAATTAACTATTTACAGGGTGTCATGCACCTGGCTGTCTATAAAACGTAGAAGTCTGATGTCATTTTTGAGAAATAAAGATCAAATGATTCCACCTTAAGGAAAACACTGCATTAAGGATTTTCCATCTATTTTTTTTAATTTAGCGAATATTCATCCTTTTTTCTTACTGTTGTGATTGTATCCGACAGAGAGTTGAGCATCTAAGAATTGCGCTGAATTCATTTATGCAGGTTTGCCTTTCACCTTTGATTTCAGGTCAAAGGTGAAATTCATGGTGAGAGAGACTGAAAAAATACTGTATCAGTAAGTGCAAGGAGAACTAGGACAACCAATATACAGTAAACCTCACACTGACTTTATAGAAATACAGCATATATTTCTGTGAGGGCCACCCAAAATGAAATTCCCCTGGGTAAAGTCAAACTTAATTCACATGAGAAACACTGACACTTCCGGTTAACCTTGGAAAGTAAAGCACAAATAAATCAGCTAACAATCGGAGCCATTCTGCAAACGGAGGCACAGTCTGGGCACAGCTTAGAACAGAAAGGTCCTGTCCAACAGAAACTGATTTGTGAGCACAGCGAGT